TCCGCTGCGCTCACTTGGGGAGTGAATCATTGGACGGAAGATCTTCCTCTCTGTCTCTCCTCTCTGTATATCCGCCTTTCCAATAAAAAAATAATAAAAATAAATCTTAAAAAAAAAAGTACAACAATTCTGTAAAGCTGCCATGATTCTCCATCATATTTGTAAGGAGCACTTTTAAGGCAGCAGTGTGAAAAACCAAGATAAGCCTCTGTCTGTGATGTTAGCAACCCAAAGAGGTTCAAGCTCTAGTCCTGGATGCACCACTTCAAATCCAGCTTCCTGCTAATTTACCTAGGAAAGCAACAGAAGATGACTGAAGTGCTTGGGCCCCTCCTTGTGAACCACACTGGTGACTTGAAGAAGACCCTGGCTCCTGCATGATTCCACATGGCCCAGGCCCAGCCAGTGAGGTCATCTAGAGAGTGACCCAATGGATGGAGGATTATTTCTCTGTAACTCATTCACATAAGTCATTAAAAAGGGGGGAGGGAGAGCATGGGGAAAGAAGATATACTTATAAAATTAATAAGCTAATGCAGCACAGCAAAGTAGCATGGATGGTGGGAAATCCATTGCTAATTACATTTACTTTGGCTTCTTTTTTCGTTAGCAATAAAGACTTCTCTCACTCATAAAGTCTCATCTTGGTGAAATTCTTTCTGATGATAACTGAATCCTTCTCTAATCTTTGGGGGAGAAGAGCAAAAAGTTTTTATGATTAAAAAACAAACAAATGGATATTTTAAAGATTTTTTAGTGTTATTATTATTGGAAAGGCAGGTCTGTGGTCGAGTAGAGAGGAGAAAGAGAAAAGATGTTCCACAGTTGGAATCAAGACAGTGAAATAGGATAAAAACGCATTTAAACAGATGGAGAAATATTAGCCAGTGTGACGAAGAGAATGCACATTTCAGGAAATAGGAGAGGACAGAATCACAGCAGAGGGGTACCTGGAGATTGACAGACGCAGGAAAGCAGTGAAAACAACAATGTGATGTTGCAGTGACTGATAATCCCAGAGGCATTGAGCAAACGGCAATCTGAACTCCACTGGCAGCCAGAACTACACCAGCAACAAGGTGGAAATGAACTCTGGAGCTCAGGTGGTGAACCCAGACAAAGAACTGCCTGTCCTGCTGGTCTGTTTGATTTGACTAGAAGCAGAGACAGAGTGGCAGATCCCAGATAGGCAGTGCAGGAACAGAGTGGATTTCACAGTCCAATCCACTCCCTAGAGCTGTTTTGGGCACCATTTTGTTTAAGGAGGCAAGGGCTATGGACAGAGCTGCACATGCACTGAGCGGGAAATGAGCTCATTTCTGGCTCAGTGAACCAAAACATCACGGCATCCTACAGGTTCCACCCAAGTTAGGTCTGGGTAGCCCTCAGACCTGACAGCCAGCAGATCAAGAACACTAGTAGTGGCACATCAGGTGCCATTTCTTACAGTGTGGCAAAGAATTTAAGACTGCAGGGGACAACAGTGACCTGCTCATACACCAACCTTGGCGAGAACTCACTGAACTCCATGCACTGCACTGGTCCCATAGGATAATAATACCGACTTTGGCATTGTATGGGTCAAAATGGGTCCATGTGGTCCTCAGAACTAATGGTCAACTGGTGCTGGAAAAATCAGTACTACCAACAACCTAGCTATATAGGACACCTGGTGTCTCCCTAATCCTGGGAACTGCTCCAAACAGAAGTGGGAGAAAGGTCGTACACACACCAGTGCAGCCTCAGCACAGCATCAAAGGAGGTGGAGAGTGGTGAGCCAAGAACTGGGGCTACAGAGACCATGCTGGAAGTTGAACATAAGAACCCAGATCTGGAACTTGCTAGAGGGAGTGGCACAATGACTGGAAAACAAAGAGCCTTGTACCAACTGCAATAAGCAAAATCAAACTGTAGACCTGTGGGTGACAGAGCTTAAGAAACCTGCCCCAAGGTGAACAATGTGAATACCAGAAGTACAATGACCAAGAGCAAAAGAAGAGACAAAGGAAAAAAAGAGACAGAATAGTTTGAAGACTCACTCCCCTGCAAAAGAGCAAAACCCTTTGCCAACCTCAGAGTTCACTGAGGAAGACATCCAGAAAATGGGGGATACAGAATGCAAAACACTGTTTATAAAATTTCTTATCAACGAGAAGCACATAAAAGAGACAGTCAAGGAATTCAAGGAATAGGTCACACTGGAAACAAATCAAATGAAAACTGATATATCAGAAATGAAGAATACAGTGGAGCAAAGTAAAAGTACAGTGGGGAGTCTCCAAAATAGAATGAAGCAAGCAGAAGAAAGAATCTCAAAATTGAAAGATATTTCCTGTCACCAGGGGGAAACAAACAAAAAGCTGGAAGCAGAGCTGGATCAGGCCAAAAGAAGTATTCAAGAACTGAAAGACACCATTAAAAGGCTGAATATAAGAGTTATGAGAGTCCCAGAACATGCAGAAAGAGAAGCTGGGTTTACAAATGTATTTAATGAAACAATAAGGAAAAATTTCCCTAATCTAGAGAAAAAAATGAGTAATAACATGCAGGAGGAGCACAAAACTCCCGACACAGTTCACTAAAAGCAATCTTCACCAAGATACATGATCATTAAGCTTTCTTCAATCGAACATAAGGAAAAGATCCTTAAATGTGCACATGAAAACAAAATCAACTGACATATAAAGGAATGCCAATTAAACTCACAGGAGTCCTCTCACAGGAAACTCTACAGACGAGAAAATGGAGTGACATATTCCAGATTCTAAAATAAAAAAACTGTCAGCCCATGATAATGTACCCTGCAAAGCCTCCTTTGTGTTTGAAAATGAAATAAAATTCTTCCTCAGTAAAGAAAAGTTAAAAGAATATGCCTCTCCCAAACCTGCCCTACAAAGGATACTTAAACATGTTTTCTTGACAGAGAAAAGGAATAGCACCCACCAAAACCACAGGCAAATGGGAAGAACATCCCAGCAAAACTACAACAGAAGACTAAATCAATGAACAACCCATTGCTAAAATGACAGGACCAAATTACCACCTATTTGTATCAACCCTGAATGTAAACAACTTAAACTCATCAATCAAACATCACAGCGTAGTAGACTGGATTAAAAGACAAAACCCATCTATTTGTTGCCTACAGAAAAAGATCAGCGGAAACTGTATCTCATGGATGTTGATTTTTTTTGTTAGTTTCATCTCTTTAAAACATTTTCTTCTGATCAGATTCTTCAATGACTCATAGATCATACAGTAGCATCATTCTCTTCAAGAAGGTTCTTGATTTTCTTTTTCATTTCTTCAGTGACACATTAGTCATTCAGTAGCATGTTATTTAACTTCATGGTGTTTGTTTTCTTCCTGCTGTTGATTTTGTTTTGTGGCTTTTCATTTAAGGGGTTGTCTAGTAACTGTGTAATGGAGACTGTCATATCTAGCAGCATTTTATTTAACTTCATAGCAATGTAAATTTCTTTTTTTTTTCTTGTTGTTAATTTTGTATTGTGGTTTTTCATTTAAGGGGATGTATAGTGACTGTGTAATGGAGAGTATCCTATCCAGATGTGAGGATAATGCAGAATGCATCTCTACTTCCAGACAAAGATGGACTCCTAATGAAACTTTTTACCATATCTTGACAATAGGATGCTGGACTCTGCCATTGTCCATGCACGCATGATGGACATAGGCCTGTGTATGAAGAATAATACTATAGTAATGACATAGGGGAACTCAGTGAGAGGGGAGGTACTTCTGGGGAAGGGATAAGGCAAACCCAAGGCCTATGGAATTGTATCATAAAATGATAAAAATAAAAAGAAGTAAAAAAAGAAAAAAACCATGTCCCACCCACTATTTCACTAAGTGGCTGCTACAGCCAGAGCACAGCTGATCTGAAGCCAAGAGCCATGTGGATCCATGTCGCGAGCCTTTGGGCCAGACTGCTGTTTTCCCAGGCCAGAAGCAGGCAGTTGGATGGGAAGTGGAACAGCCAGGAAATGAACTTGCACCTGAACTCGGAGGATTTGCTAATCAAGCTATTGTTCTGGGCCCACAAGTGGAATTTTTAACAGTGAAAATCAACTGGTAGCTAAATCAACAATGTAGTATTTCACTTTAAACTTACCTGATTATAATACTGTCTTTTAATGTTATCATAGAGAAATCATTTCATAACAGTCACAATTGGTGAGTGGGTAAGAAAACATATGTTCCCATCTTTGTAGAAGACAACTCTTTGCAGCAATAGTTAGCAAAGTTTTCCCTTCCCCTGGCTCTCAATCCAGGAATTACACTAGGTAAGAGCTTAACCTTGTAGTAGATGAATTCTTCAGTCACCACAATACCCCTGAAATGTAAATCTTTATCCTTAAACTAATTTTAACCTCAGGGTGAGTATACACAAACTGAAGGATCTCAGGATAGCGAACGACAATGTTTTTTTCTTTATTTTTTGAAAGGCATAGTTACAGAGTGAGAGGAATAAACAGAGAGACCTTCCAATCCCACTGGTTCACTCCCTAAATGGCTGTAACAGCTCCTGCTAAGCCAGTTCAAATCCAGGAGCTAGGAGCTTCATCTGGGTTGCCCAAGTGATAAAGGAACCCAAATACAAAGTGAGGTAACCGAGAGCTAAACCACTGCCCATGTGAGATGCCATTACATCACAGCATTGGCTCCAGCAATTTTTCTGATAACAGCATTCTATACTCCTTTAAAAAAAATTACATTGTATATATTTCCTGAGTGGGATGACTAGCTCTAATGTATTATTTTCTCTGTTCTAAAATCATATTATGCAAAACATACAAAGTTTAATTTGTTGAAATTTCAAATAATTGATAATCAGATGGGTTAATAGATTCACCTTACTAAGATTTTCCCCTGTGGAATAATTCACATAAGTATTTCACAAATAATTATCATTGTACATTGTTTAAAACAGCAAAATTAATGAAACAATGTAAATGCTTAAAATAACGTAAGATTCTTACCTCAGCTCGTTTCAACATTTCCCATTTATTCAGTATTTTCATGGCAAATACCTTATCCGCATTTTTTAGTTTTACTACAGCAACCTACAAAAGATAAAGGAAATACAACTTGTAAAATATAATAAATACACTTTTTTCAGATATCCATTTTCCTTTTTCCTGTCTGTGAAAAAATAATAAATACCAATTATCAAGTATTTCAATGCAGTTCAAATTCTAATCCTAAATTATATAATGTTATAATGTAAAAAAAATTACATTAGTGAACACATGCCAAACCAATAAATTTGTGACCATCCTCCTATCCTGGGCCTCAATCTCAATCTCTAGTGTTACTAAGAAATTGACCAATACGTGCAACATAAAGGAATTAGAGCTTGTTAAATAATGCATGCCATATACCCACATTATGGCTCAGGGAACACCAGCTGCCAAAACAAGTATTTTTTGTCCAAAGATATAACTGGTATGAAAAAAAAAAATGGAAAATGATCCCATCTCACTGCACATACAGTCCTGACTGTTTCAGGCATCTGGGGAGTGAATAAGCAGATCAGAATGCTAATTTTCACATTTTTTCCTCCTTCAAATTTTAATTAGTGAAAAGGAAGGGAGCTGTAATAAAAAAAAAAAAAACAAGAAAACACCCCACTTTTACTAACATCTCTGAAACAGTGAAAATCCAAGTTGAACTACTCTGTAAATTCTGAAATCAAATGCTGCACATGGACAGAACGATGAGCCTGCTAAGTACTAGCCTACACCGAGAACCAAAACTACACTTGGAAATGCCATCACTTACACCCTCTTCTTTTGATTTAGGAAAGAACAGACTCCTCATAAGCAACTTAAAGGTACTCTATCACACTGTATTTCTCATCAACTTTTTGTATTTATGAATACATAGATATTTGCTGTAACTACTAATATCTATTACCACATATTAAGTGGGCTCCAAATGCCACTTAGTACGCCATAGAGATCCACAATCCATACTATCATTCTAAAGACAAGTTTTTGAAAACTCACTTGGTAGCATGTACTGATATCAAGCAACTAACAGTCTTTTATTCTGTTTAAATTTCAGTATGTCTGGTGTAGTGCCATAGTAGACTAAGCTTCTGACTGTGGCACCAGCATCTCATATGGGTGCTGCTCATGTTCTCACTGCTTCGCTTTCCATCCAACTTCCTGCTTATGGCCCAGGGAAACAGCAGAGAAGGAGCCAACTCCTTGGGCCTCCAGAACCATGTGGGAGACCTTGAACAAACTCCTGCTTCCTGGCTTTGGAGAGGCTCAACTCCAGTCATCATGGCCATTTGGCAAGTAGGTCAGTGAACTGAAGACCTCTGTTTCTCCTTCTCTTTGTAACTCTGCCTTTCAAATGAAAATAAATTCTAAAATAATCTTTTCCATGTAAAGACAAACATGATTCACTGCTTTTGTTTTGGAATATTGTTCCAAATCTCAAAAGGGGTATGAAACAAAACAGAGTATACATTATCTTTCTAAAATCCAAATTATATGCATTAGAATCATAATTACACTGAATTATGCACTGTGCAACAGGACTACCAATGATGATTCTCAGCACTTATTAAACTTAACTTTAAAACTCAGCAAATGTGTACTGTGACTCTTGAGGGCAGTGGTGATAGCACAAATTCTGAACCCAGACAACCTGAGGTTTGAATCCTGGTTCTGTCAATAGATGTATAAAATTGGTAGAAAACTTAACCATGCAATAATCCAATGGAATTAGTAACAGTACTTACCTTACACTCATATCATTGTGTAGAAGATTAAAATTAGTAACTATAAACTGTTTACAACAGAATCTGGTATTAGTGACTACTTAGTAAGTTTTAGTTAGTATCACATGCCAAACAGTCCACTGAGTACACTGTAGCCCAATTTTCAACAACTATTTCTTCTACCACTAATGTAAGTAGCCAACAGTATACCTCTCAATTTCTTATAAACATACTTATACATAAAAATACAATTATAAAATATCCTCAATTGAATATGTATATATACAAAGGAAATATAATATTCATAACAGCATGGTTTTCAACAGTAAAATAGAGACAAACTTAAATATTCTAAAAGGTGAAATCAACTAAAAATTGTGCACCACAAAGTGCTAATTATTCACGTTTTTGAAAGTTAAAGAATACTATTGATCAGGAAAAAAATCACAGTATGTTAAACATATAATTATATTAAAATTTACATACTGTAAAATAAGATCTTAGTCTTCAATGTATGATGATCTGGAACGCCATGTTACAGCAGTATGGAAAACATGCCTCAAAATATCTTGCAACAGTTTCATAAACTAAAATCTTTTCTAAAACAAATGTTCTGCCAATATTTTTTTAACTCTGAGAAATCAATTTTCAAACTTAAGCTTTCATTTCCTAGGCATACAAAGTCTTGGATGGTTTGTCTTTTTTTTTTTTGAATGATAATATTATTTATTTTCCTTTTTTAATAATTTGTGTACTGATATAATTCCATAGCCTCTGGAATTTCCCCTTACACCCTCCTCAAATCCCTTCCCACAACTGATTATCACAATAGCGTAGTCCTTCAAAAACAGTCAAAATCCATCATTCTGCTATTTAAAAGTATTCTGACATTGTACATATGGACAATGGCAGAGTGTTGAGTATCCTATTGTCAAGATCTATTTAACAGTTTCATGAGGAGTCCATCTTTGATTTGTAAGTAGAGATGCTTACTGCATTGTATCTTCACATTTTGATATGATAGTCTCCATATACTGTTCTTCTAGATGACTATATGTACATGCATATTTACCTATGTATCTACTAACCTTTTATCTTGCATGAAGGTTGCCTTTTATCAGAGAGAACATATGAAATTTGTCCTTTTGAGATTGTCAGTCAATGTTACTCATACCAAACTGATAATATGAGAATATAAAATTTACAAAGTGATAACATAAAAACTGACCTTTAATATCACAAACAATTTTCACGTTCACGTCAGTAAAAGAAAAAAAAAGAAAAGATTCCCTCAGAGCTCTAGGTGCTATATTTTCAAGAAGTACAAGGGCAATACATTCACATGTGCTTTATTGTTTGGGCCAGTTTTGTGGCATAGCACCTTAAGGCTCTGCTTGCAACACCAGCATCCTATAAGGACACAGGTTTGAGTTCTGCTGCTCCACCTCTGATTCAGCTCCCTGCTCATGTGCCTGGGAAAGCAGCAATAGAAGAACCAAGTACTTGGGTCTTTGCACCCATGTGCAAGACCTAGAAGTTCCTAGCTATTGGCTCCAACCTGGCTGAACCTCGGCCTTTGTATTCATTTGGGTAGTGAACCAGCTGATGGAAGATTCCTATGTGTCTCTCTGTCTCTCCACTCTGTCTCTGTCACTCTACCTCTCACTCTTCTCTGTCTCACCTTCCCTTTCTGTACCTGTTTTCAAATAAATAAAAATAAATCTTAAAAATATCCTTTACTGTTTGATCCTATCAAACTGAGCAGCTAAGTTAACACAGCCTAGAAATTATAAATGTAACAGAACAAAAACATTCATAAAAATAATATATAGATTTTTCAGCCTCATAGTAAGACTAGTGTGCTTTACTACAGAAATGATCAGTATGTGACACATATGCAACAATCAATTCTTAAATCCCACTTAAAGTATCACCATTTGTAGCTACAATCGATAACACTACATCAAATAAGATTTCAATATCCAATATCCAAGTCGCAAAGTTCTGCAAATCTAGTTTCATCTTCAGTGGGTTCAGAATTCACCACAGTTCCTCTATTCCAACCAATTCTAAGTTATCACACACCACAACTTGCCTGGATGATCTCACACTACCTCTCTGCTTCCACCTTTATCTCCTACAATCTACTTTCAACACTATTGTATGGTGTTCCCACTTAAATGTAAATTCAATCAAAATACTATTTCCCTCCAAAACTTGAATGTTTTCCTATGCTTCTGCAAGTCACTGTCAAAGTTCCTACCATAACCTGGAAAGCCAACAAGTTCTGGCCCTCCATACTCCCTGATCTCACAGTCGCTCATTCTGTTCCAGTCCTAACAGCTACTCAATTCTAACTCCAGGTCCTGGCACTTATTGTTTCCTAGGGTCAGAATATTCTACCTGCTTAGAACTTTACATACTGCTTACTCAGTCATTGAAATAGCACTCCACCCCTTGAGACTTACGCCACTTCTTTGCTTCCTTTTCCCCTTAAGGAACTATAATTCTGTATTTCTATATTTTATATTCTACACAATTCTATATTCTATTTATTGTTTGCCTGTTTCACTAGAATACAGGCTATGAGAATGGGTTTTTCCCCTCCTAATTTGTTACAAATATGTACCTAGTGTTTGGGATACTAATTAAGTGATTGCTTTAAAAAAGATGAATGATATGAGTCCAGTGTGGAAGCCTGGAGGCTAAAGTCCTTGCCTTGCACGCACCAGGATCCCATATGGGCACCGGTTCTAATCCCAGCAGCCCCACTTCCCATTCATCTCTCCGCTAGTAGCCTGGAAAAGCAGGTGAGGTCACCCCAAGGCCTTGGGACCCGGCACCAATGTGGGAGACCCAGAGGAGGCTCCTGGCTCCTGGCTTTGGATCAGCTCAGCTCTGGCCGTTGCAGCCACTATGGAGTGAATCAATGGACGGAAGATTTTCCTCTCCTACTCTCTGTACATCTGACTTTACAATAAAAAAAAATTTTTTTTAAAGAATGAATGATTTATAACCCGTGAGGATGTAAATAAAGTTTTAAGCTATTGATAGTTTCAGCTCGAAGTATACTATCATATTAATACTGAAACTCAAAACCAAGAAACACAATTGTATATTGAATGACTTATTAATGTCTAATAGATTATTCCAGCTCATAATATTACTGTAATAGGCCTTCAAAGTCCCAAGTTCACAACTGTGTCTATTTTCTTTTGTCCATTGCTACAGACTATTATTATTTCTTCTGTCATCATTTATACAGAGAGCAATAATTTAAAAAAAAAAAAAAACAGCCGTTATTTAAGGAAGGCTTCCTCTGTGCCTGGCACTGGGCTAAGTACACTGCATATACTACTTCATTTAATCCTTACATCAATTCAAACTAGGTCCTGTAATGACATCATGAAGAATTAGTAAACAAAGCTCTGGAAAAGCTAATTAACTTACCCAGTAAGTAATAAATCTAGGATATGTAATTCTGACTATCCGATGACACAGCTTATACTCTTTACTTCTGTAAGTACTGAACAGCTGCTTAGGTCCTGAAGAGTTTTTCCCACTTACCATGCCTATAATTCTGTTACCTATTGACACATTAACAATGATCAATATGTGTGAAGAATCACTAGTCGGATTTTTTAAAGCTGTTATTAATTCGTGTTGTAAATGTTTATATATATTTTAAAAACTATTAAGTCTCTTAAACAAGTGAACTAAAAACATTAATTTACTAAATAGGTAGAATTACCATCCTCTCCTTGGAAACAAAACAATATGTGCAACAACAAAAGAAAAAATACTTGAAAATCGGCACAACATGGCCATCAATCAGAATAACTGCTGGTTTTGAAAACACAGTATGCCCACACCAGTGTGGCCCTACTAACTACAGAGAGGCATTATCAGAGATAACCATGCAGTGCAATTTCAAACTTTTTTTATTCTTTAATGAATCCCAGAATAGCCAGAGTAAAGAAGTTTTCAAAGAATGAATGGCTAAAGATAATTCACCTTTGAGACCCTACTACTAGATTACGCAGACATATATGGCCCTAGCTATAGTAATTAGAGGAAGCAAGCTAATTAAAAGCTTTTGACACCTGAAGCAGGGGTAGCAGGCCAAAGCAGCAAGCTTTCACAACAAGCTCTGAAGCCCAGAAGCCTTGAAGCTGCCGGAGCAAGGCTGGAGCAGGCAGAAGCGGTGAGCCACCAGGAAACTGTGGACAGGCAACACCCAGGGCGTAAGTTAAAGGTTTTCCTGAAAGCAAAAAGGAAAACCCAGCGTTAAGTTAAGCAGTAACTGACAACAATTGAGTTGTAGAGAGAAGGTTTTTTAAATCACAGAGATGCTGAATTTTAATTATATCTTGCTCCTTATTGTTTCCCATGACTTATGTATTTAAGAGTTACGTAAGTTCTGCTTTTTATTTTCATGGTTTTGTTTTGTAATTTTTTAAAGCATAATTGATTGAAATGTTCCTGCCAGATAGCCAAGTCAGAGGTGAGTCTACCCACTGGACTTATATTTATTTACCAATTCCTGGTGGAATTTGAATGGAACAATTATCTCTTTAGGGTCTTCACATTTCTAAATCTATTAGTTGACAAACACCACAGCCTATATAAACTCAGCAGAGAAATTTTGTAAGAAAGCTATAAAGCTCATATCCAGTCCATACCACTTTCCATACAAATTAATCTATCTTTATACACTAAATGATCATCAATCTTCTTGACTTCATTCTACTAACTTCAAACTTCATGTAGAGCAGAAACACTACAAAAAAAGAAACCTTCTCACACTGAATCTCAAATATTATTAAGTCATACATCAAGTACACTGACCTCACCTCAATGTCTCAATTTCACTGGCTTGTGACAAAGCAAGGTATCTCCAACTGCTGGACTGCCATATGCTGCCAATGACTCCCCAGTTCTGCACCCTTTAATTTTTCCAAGTTTCTGAACAGGAAAAGTAATTTTCCAGTCATAAGCCATTTACTTCATTTACCCTACTGAGTAACCTAAAATACTCATGAAGAAATGATTTTCCAATGTCCTTTTTGACTATCCCTTTTATAAAATATTTGAAGCAGCCACATACTTCCTTGTTCTTCCTGTTTTGTTGTTGTTCCTTTTGTTTCTTAAAGCCAGAATTACAGAGAGAGATCTAGTATCTGCTGGTTCACTCCCCAGATGGACTGAACAGTCAGGAATGGGCCAGGCAGAAGCCAGGAACTCCATTTGGTTCTGCCACAGAAATTGCAGGGGTCCAAGTACTTGAGTCATTTTTCAGGAGCTCCATTTGGGTCTCCCAACAAGCACTTGAGTCATTTTCCATTGCTTTCCCTAGGACATTAGCAGGAAGCTTAACTGGAAGTGAAGTAGCTAGGATTCCAAGTAGTGCCTACATGAAATGAAGACATCACAGACAGTGGCTTTATCCACTCTGCCACAGTGCTAGCCCCAGTTTCCTTTATGCCACAGGTCATTCTCAGCTAAAATCTCCAATCTATCAGCAGTCCTACCGCTAATTCTTTGTCATTCTCATTAGAATCTTTGTTCTAACAGAATTTTTATTTTAATACACCTTCTATTCTTTTATTCTCAAATGCCCTGTGCTATCTTGCCATTATCATCTGTTTCAACCTATTTTATACCTGTCCCATTCTCCTTTTACCGAAAAACTAAAAACCTGGTAGCCTACTTCAAAGATAACAGATGTTTCACATTTCCTCATAACATACTTAAGTGTTTTTTACATTTTTACTTATTCTTTTTCCTTTTGATACACAAGAAAGGATGTCATTTCTCCTTTCAAGACTAACACATTCATACGAGAACTTGCTTTCACACTCTCCCCGTCTTTCCTTTTTATGCTTGTTCTATTAAAGTTTTCTTTCCCATCTTTAATTCCTACTGTCCTGGATATTAAATGAAAACTTTTCACACAAACATCCATATCCAAGAACAAAAACTGAAACACAAACTTTACCTTCACCCTACCTTCCTCTCAAGGAATAAATAGAGCATTCCTTTCCAATAAGGCATCATCTCCAAAAGGCACATTTTCAAAGAGTATTATGTGTTGCTTTTTTTTTAATTTAGCCAAACTTTTTATTTAGTATTTTGCAGTTATTTAACACATACTTAAATGGTCCCACTTGGGGAGGGGGCCGAAGAGGTTCTTGAAGAATCCCAAGGAAATGTCAGAAAGGCAAAATATGGCCAGCAATACCCATTTGATTTGGGGGTTTACTGGGTGAACAGCACTTTCCTTACATGGGCATCTGATCTACGTTTTCCATACTGAGAACAGGGAGATTTCAGTTTGAAGACATCCTGAAATCCTAGGAGTTACTAGCACACCCCTACTACCCTCTAACAGTTAACTTGTTGGAACAGGCAGGATGTATCATCTACCAATGGAGATCAATGGACATTTAGATGGCTAGATGTTTGCGGAAGATCTTAGAAATGCTTGCCTCATTTCCTGGGGGGGGGGGGGGGGGGGGGGGAATCAGATAGGATGTGGCCGTTAAGGGAAACTTTTACTTGGAAAATTACAACACTAATACAACAAGTCAAGTCTTACACATTTAACATTTGCTTGTTGAAAGCAATGTCATTAAACCAAATAAAATTAAACATGTTTTACTTTTCCTCACAAGAATGTAAAAATTACAGAAGGGGAACTTAACAGGAACTTAAAAAAAAAAAAGTAACACAATTTTTCCTTTCAGTAGTCCCTGGGTAGTTATGACAGAATAGTTTCCACTTTGTTTCTTTGAATAGGGATTTTGATCCAAAGTTTTGTTTGTCTCTAGTATGTACTTCTGCATCCTTCTCTATCAGATCGGTTTCCTCCACAGCTACCACATCTTGGTGCTCCAGAGCTTGAATTGCTGAATGAATCATGTGGAGGATGGTATTCCCCTTTCCATAGAAGAAGGAAGCCCTCTTTCTTGTCTGCCAACACAATCACGACCACTTGAGCAGAGATCATTTTGGCTGCTTGAGTAACTGTCTTGACTTCCACCATATCCATCACGTGAGTTGCTGTAATCATCATAGCAACTGCTTCCACCATAAGATGGCGGGGGGGCCCTCATGTAGGTGTAGCACTACGTGAGTTACCATAGCTCTCACAAGAATCTTGATAGGCACCTCCACTTGGATGATGTCAACAGTCCTGATCACGACCACAGCCATCCCTATCACTACAGCCTCTGATGGACAGTCATCACCATGAACTGGAATGACCATAATCACTGTAAGTATAGTCTCTTGGTAAGGGTGCATAATCTCAGTTATCACAGGAACTTGGGTAATCTCTGCTTGAATAGCTGTCTTTAGTAGAGTATCCATCACCTCTTGGTGACAAATAAACATCTCTGCTAGAGGACAGGGGTTCCCTTCAAGGTGGGCCACTGTAATAGTCTTTTCCATGTGATACAAGGGCTCTTCCCCTCATTCCATGCTGTTGTGAACTGGTCTTGAAGGGTCCTGAGGAGGACCCCCACTTTGTGGTGATGAGCCTCATTTGACTGGCAGTGGGTCTCTGGAAGAACTCATGTTGAAACACATGGAGTAGCCACGATCATCCATGTGCCCTCCCTGTGACAGAGGGCCCCTAGTTCCTCCATCTCTTTCTCCTCAGAGATCTCTGGGAGAGCCTCTGCTTCATGGAGGTGAGAGTAGTCCACATCTACCACTTTCAAATGATGGTTTGGTAGCCTGTTCCACCAAGATGGCTTTGCCACCCCGAAACTTTACACTCATGTTTCTGGCAGCATCCTTAGCATCTACTTGGCTTTCGAAGGTGACAAAAGCAAAACCTCTTGACTTGTTGATTTCCCAGTCTTTCATCAACAGTATTTCCATGATTCGTCCATATTTGCCAAATACCACTTCAAGGACTTTCATATTTGTTTCTGTATTAAGCCCACCGATGAACAGCTTTCTTGGGTGATCTGCTTCAACTTTTTTTTTTAACCCCAGTGATTCACAGGGGTGTCTGTGGTGGTAAGCACCTTCAAGCTTCCCAGCCAGGGGCTCCTAACAGCACAGCATGAATGAAGGCCACACCCTGGAGCTCACGACCGGAAAGCTGACTGCACTATTGCGCACTGAGCCATGTGATTGGTTGCTTTCATCATTTGCTCATGATACACTATATCTCGGCCTCTTTTAATCTCCTATTTCAATCCAGTCTCTATTTCATTGTACTGGACAGTAACAATTTGTTCAAAGATCAATAATGAGCTAATTCCCAAATTTAGCATACTATCCTCAATTCTCATCTGCTTCGACCTGTCAGACACTTCTGAGAATCCATATACTTCCCTAGTTTTGCTATATCTTGTTAAATACTGTAACTGAAGGATCCTTACCTCACTTTTTTAAACTCCTTCCTGATCTGTATTATCTATCCCAAAATTCTTAATTAACCTTATATGCAAATGATTCCTAAATCCTTCTCTCTCAGCATTTTGAGCCAAATTCCTAGTTGTTTCAGCAAATGTCTTAAATTTAAAAAGTCAAAAACATATATACAAACTCATTTAGTCAGGTTGCAGACTTAAATCATCTATGAATTCTACCTTTAACTCACTAGTGACATCCAAAATGGCTTCTTTCCAATCTGTCTCCCACTCACCCTTCCTTTTCTAATACCAGTAACCTAGACCTCATCTTCATCATAAACATGCTAATAGGCTCCATTTTGACTAACTTACTTATAGGCCAGATTTAATGCTGTTAGAAATACAAAGTTATCTAATAGATATGTTGCTCTCAAAAACCTCAGAGTCCACTGTGGGAAACATACCTAAACAGAAACATGAAGATAGTTTCATACAACAGTGCATGGAAATAAGAGACAAAAATGAAGTCCTATAAAAGGCAAAGAAGACAGATTACTGATATAAAAAATGGGAGTATGGGAAGAAAGTAATACACGATCATGCACTCATATGTTGGTTTCTTAGAAGAGGTAACATGTTAGTACTATTCTCAGAAAGAGAGTAAGGTGGATGTGACTGAAGAAAGGGGTTATTTTAAAAAGTAGGGACAGCACGAGCAAGACAGAAGCAATTTAATACCAGTAATGGGAAGGGGGAGAAGATGTTCAGGAACAATAAGCATTATTCTTTCCTAGGAGCAAACAGAACACTACAGAAAGAGGGAACAAATGAGGCTGATGGGTTCATCCAATAAAGAGCTGGGGACCAGTGTTGTGACATACCAGGAAAAGCCAAACAACTGCAGTGCTAATATCCCATATGGGCATCAGTTTGAGTCCCACCACTCCACTTTTGATTCAGCTCCCTGCTAATGCACCTGGAAAAGCAGGAGAAGTCCGTCGAAGTACTTGGGCTGCCACATGAGAGACCCAGACAAAGCTACTGGCTCCAGCCTGGCTCAGCCCTAGCTATGTGGCCATTTGGGAAGTTAATCAGCAGATGAAAGATACTTCTCTCACTCTCTCATTCTGACTCTACCTCTGAGCCTCCTTTCTGTAACTTATCCAACTAAATAAATAAATCTTTTTTAAAGAAGAAAGAGAGAGAACTGGCATGTCATTAATAGAATAGAGCCTTAAAACAGGGCCTAGAGCCCAGTGCAGTAGCATAATGGCTAAAGTCTTCACCTTGCACATGCCAGGATCCCATATGGACACCAGTTCATATCATGTCAGTCCCATTCCCCATCCAGCTCCCTGCTAAGGTCTAGGAAAGCAGTCGAGGACAGCCGAAAGCCTTGGTACCCTGCATCTGCGTGGGAGAAGTAGAAGAAGCTCCTGGCTTCAGTTCCAGGCATTGCTCCCACTTGGAGAGTGAATCAGTGGACAGAAGATCTTCTCTGTCTCTCCTCCTCTGTATCTGACTTTCCAATAAAAAATTAAAGCTTAAAAAAATTAGAGACCACCCTTCAGAGATGAATTTAGCATTCAAAAAACTCTATGAAGATGGTTTTAAGTCAGGGAAAGAAATTAGAGAATTTCAGCAACAGTTCAGGTAAGTTGCTCTGGCTAAAAAAGAGAAGAGGAAATTCAAAACACAGGATATAAAATTTTGGTGACTGGAAGTGGAAAAACCCAGCACTGTTGTAATTTTTTTCTCTTCTCTAATTACTTCTCAAACATCCATCATTAGTTTTATCTTTCTAAAAGAGTTCCAATTAAATCACTACTCTACTTATTAACATTTGATGGGATACTTGGTTTATAAAAACTCAACATAGCACACCAACTCACTCACTGTTCTGCCCAAGTAACTTTTCCATCATCTTTAATCACCACCAACTAAAGTTCTATATTTCAATTACAAGATCAGCTTCCTGAACAAAAAGAAAAAATCACTTTAAAAAAAACACAAGTGAATACACTATAAAAATGCACAAAATTACAGTAAAATATCCACAGATAATTTCTAATTAGAAAACTATTCTAATATCATTGAAGAATCTGTCTTCAAAAAAAGCCATCTTCTAGAATTGTATTCTAAGAAAATCACTTGAAATTCAATGCAAAAGCTATTTATAAAAAGGCTCTAAAGATCATTTATAATACAGAAAAAATGAGCTTTTACTTGTTCAATTGATTCTATAAATATGTATCAGGCATGTACCAGGCACACAACATTGGGTTAGTTGCTTGGGAAGTGCAATGCGCTAACAGAGGAAAAAAAAAAATCTTTACATTCATGGAGCAGATTTCTAGCTTAATAAGGAAATGTGTAAGCCAATTATGAAAATATTAACACAATAAACTTCTCTGAAGCCAAGAGAAATTAATTAACAACTTTTTCAATACACAGGAAAAAATTTTATTAAGAAAAGCTCATTAATGTTTAACAAACTAGCCCAACTACCAATGAACAGAAACAAAATGAGGAATACCACAAAATTACAGAAGCTGGCATCAGTGCTGTGTACCTATCCTTGCTACTGATTAGGCTCTGACTGTGAACCAAAGCATGGAATATAACTGAAATATGACAAATAACCAAGAAGTACTATTTTCATTAGTGAAAAGAGGTATATATGAAAGAAAAGAGAACTTCATTATCCTAACTCCTAACAAGGAAAATGACTACATTAAAAAGCACTATACTAAATATAAAAGGCAATAAAAACTCCTTCACTTCACAGAACCTAGAGTTTACTGGTAAAGACAGACATTAAACACATATATAAGGAACTTATTAGTAGCAAATGCTAGGACAAATTAGCTGTTCTCATCTTCATTAGAAAACTAATTATATCTTTACTCCTATTTTTACAAATGTGGTCATTCCCTTGTTTTTATTACTGTATTCAGTGCTTTCACTTTTCTTTCCATAATCAATTCTTTCACTGGTTTCCAAATATTGAATAATTTTAAATAAGCAAGATATGATGACATTTTATCAAGCAGGAGGACTTGTGCTTTCTCAGAAAGCATCTACTAACACTGCTCTTAAATACAATGCACTGAAGCTAGTGTTGCCACAATTGCTGCTTCCATCAGGGAGACACCCAGAATCCCACATTGGGACAATTCTAGTTCCAGCTGTTCCACTTCCTATTAAAGATCTCTGCGAGCACACTTGGAAAAACAGCAAAGGTTGTCCTGAGAGCTTGGGCCCCTGCCAACTATGTGGAAGTCCTGGATGGAGTTCGAGGATCCTGCCTTCAGCCTGGCCCAGCCCCAGTTTTTGCAGCCACTTGAGGAGTGAACAACCTGATGAAACATTTCTTTCTCTGTGTGTCATGAGTGTCCCTCTTGTTCTCTTCCTCTCACACCCCATCTCTCTCTTTTACCACTACCTCTACCTTTCTCCCTGTTGATTGTCTTTCAACTCAATCAATTAAAAGAAATACGATGCATTGGTCATTTCAAAGAAATTAAGAATTATATCAAAAAGTGAGCACTTGGGCAAATTTACTCTGATGTATTTTTCTTTCCAAAAAAATTCATCCTGCCACCTTTTCTTCCTTGAGTTTGTTAGAAATGGAAATAATCTACTTCAAGAGCAAGGAAGAATGATACTTTCTTCAATTTAATAGGCAAGTGGTTACAAAATAAAAAAATGAGGAAAAAAAAATGAGGAACTTCCCCTTCTGTGTAAATCAAGACTTGTCTTCTGCAATCGGCTTAAAATGTTCACAGTTTCATATCACTCTGTTATACTAGCTTATAAAGGGCTTGTAAGGCTGACTACAAACTACAGTTCAACTGTTTATACTTCAATTCTATCACGAAATACAAAGAGAAAAAGTAGGAAAAGGCTCCAAGTTAGCCTTGATCCTGCTTAATAGAGGATCCTGAAAACTCTGAAACTAGTATTGTTTCCATATACTAGCTAAACCCCAAAGACAAAGAGAGTAACATGAACTTCACCCCCTTGCACTGCTCAAACAGTACACGTGCAGTGAAATTATAGCCCAGAAATTCAAAATATCAGAAATTGTCAGGGTCTATAGTATCAGGATTGTATAGGCAGAAACAAGGAAGACTTGGAGTTCTCAAACAAAGTAAACACTCCAATAATATAAAGCATCTCAGCTTTGATTAACAACCAAGAAATACCCAACAAGTGAATAGTAAGAGCCAGGAACAAAACTTCCATTCATGTTTTTTTTTTAGGAAACTGTTTTGAGATGATAAATTACAAACCCTCATTTATTTTCCTCTCCACCCCATTCTTATGAAGGGGCAGAAAATAACTTGTTAGAGGAAATAAACTATATATAAATACTTGCAAATAAGAAAAGCAGTTAATAAAATACAATATGTTAATGACTTCCTGAAATCTAGGTTTAATAGAATAGGCTTTAAAAGAAAAAAAATCAGACAATAATGTGAAGAGGGCCTGGCCCGATAGCCTAATGGATAAATCCTTGCCTTGCATCCACCAGGATCCCATTTGGGTGCCTGTTTGTGGCCTGGGAAAACAGTCGACGACAGCCCAAAGCCTTGGGACCCTGCACCCGTGTGGGAGACCTGGAAGAAGTTCCTGGCTCCTGGCTTCGGATCAGCTCAGCTTTGGCCATCATGGCCACATGAACCAGTGGACAGAAGACATTTCTGTCTCTCCTTTTCGTGTATATGTTTCCAATAAAAATAAAATGAATCTTTTTTTGAAAAGATTCTTCTAATTTTACTTGATAGGCAAGAACAGAAAGAAGGAAACAGACACAGGAGGGTAGGACAGAGATTTCCATCTGCTGGTTCACACAGCTAGAGCTGAGACGATTCGAAGCTGGGAGCTAGGTGCTTCTTCTGGGTCTCCCACATCAGTGTAAGATCTCAAGGACTTAAGCCATTCTCTGTTGCTTTCCTAGGCCATAAACACAGAGCTAGATCAGAAGTGGATCAGCCAGAATCCAAACCACTGTCCATGTGAGATGTCAGCACCAGAATGGAAGATCAGTTTGCTTTACCACATGTTAGCTCCATGATTTTTTTTTTTACTATATTCATGTTATTGGATAATAAATGGTATCTCATTATATATAAAAGAAATATAGAATTTCTTTAGTGACTACTGCTGTTGAGCACATTTTTAGATGCTTATTGTCCATTTGTATTTCTTATTTGGAGAAATATCTATTCAAATAATTTGTCAATTTTTAAATTATGTATGTTTTTATTGAATTATACAGTTACATATTTCAGATCTACACTCTTATCAGATACATGATTTGCAAATACGCTCTCCCATTCTGTGACACATGAT